TTTTTTTTTTTTTTTTTTGAGCACAAACTGGTGAGTGCTGTCTCATGCGCACACTTGAAAAATCAGAAGAGGACATCATTTTGGGTGTTGAAAATGAAGAATGATATTGGAAGACACTTCATGTTGTCAATCACATGAATGCTTGAGGCCTTTTTACTGTGCAAACACACTTGACTTTACATATATTGTAGTGTCTATGTTCATAGCCTCATCTTGCTCTCTTCACCTTTTTTTTTGAAAATTTTGCAATAATTAAGCCAATGGATATGATCGTTCGTTGTATTATATTTGAGGGGTTTTCGACTCGTAGGACAACTGTTTGAAGCTACTATGTTTGGTTGTATGAGATCCCACGTTGGTCGGAAAGGGGAACGAAACATTCTTTATAAAGGTGTGAAACTTTTTCCTAGTAGACGAGTTTTAAAGTTGTGAGGCTAATGATGATACGTAATAGGCTAAAGTGGACAATATCTGTTAGTGACGAAATCGGGCTGTTACAAATGGTATTAGAGTTAGGCATCGAGTGTTGTGCTAACGGCGACGTTGGCCTCCAGGGGTGGATTGTGAGATCTTATATTGGTGGGAGAGAGGAACAAAATGTTCCTTACAAGGGTGTGAAAATCTCTCCCTAGTAGACGTGTTTTAAAACCGAGGCTAACAACGATACGTAATGGGTTAAAACGGACAATATCTGCTAGTAGTGACATCAGGCTATTATAGGCTGCGAAGGAAACTCATAGGATCGTTATTAAATTTTATATAAATAGTCACCATCAGTTGAATGGAGTGTTTTTCGATTACATTTTTAATGAAATCTTTTACATAAATAGTTCAGATAGAAGGGTTGAAATTTAAGTTTTTATTTTGTTCGGTTGGAGGTTTAAACTTTTGACTTTTTGGTCAATGATATATGCTCTAACTAGTTGACTTTTTGAAGGTTCAAGTTCAATAACATGCTTTAACTATGTAACACAGTGATCGTAAAGATAGAATGACTAAAAAAAAACTTAAATAATTGAAAGTTATATCTATATCAATAAGATGCACATTCTTTTTCAATGGCTCGATCGTAGGAACTTCAAAATTAAACGTGCTTACAAAATATGTTGAAAGGACCCATGTTAGTTTATGGAAATAGCCCCACTAGATGCTTACCGTACACCGCCATGATTCTCATTTTTCGGTGATGGATGGATAATGGTCACCGTCTCTTTCAATTCTCTACACTTTTAGTATGGTTTAAATATGTAATATGATACCAATTTTAATTTTAAATAATATAGTTATTTAGAACTCATAATGTATGAGGAACAGTGGTAGGGCTCATAAGGACCAAGCAAATAGCACAATGTGCTTGTTTTGTAGTGTCAACTGGGTTGATAATGTGTACTTTAGTGCGCGGTGAGAGTCAACGATAGTGGAGGGGACAACGTCTAGACAGGTACGTATAGATATCATAATTCGAGTTCTAAGTGGTTACAAATGATACGAACCTATTAAATCACATCAAATATGTTAAGAAAAATGCATCTGTGTACGATTATATGTGTTAGATTGACCCCAAGTGTTGTGACATATCGAAGGCCACGTTTCGAGCTTAAATTACATTTGATCTTGTTAAATCTCTCGTGTTTTTTTTATTAGGAATGTCTTAGTTAAATAGTCGTCTTTGTTGAGTTGACCAACTAGTTGTCATCCATTGTCAATGAATGGACTTTTGTAATTTCACATAAACCAAATTAAACCCAACAAAATCTTGTAGGAAAGAAGTTGACTTATCATACGTTTGACTTTGGTAAAGGTTGGACATAAAAATAATTTAAAATAATTTTAATTTTTGAAATCATAGTCAACTAGTGAATAATAAATAGAGATGACAAAATAAAAGATGGAAGTCAACTTTTTTTTTTTTTTAACGAATTTTCATGAAATAAAATATGGACTAAATTAATAAAAATACATTTTTAAAATTTTCAATAATATCCTTCCATTTTAAAAAAGTTTAAATATATATTTACTATTATTAATATTTTATTTAAACATATTATTAAATTTTTAATAAAAAAAAATATCCTTAAACTTAATTTTTTTTATTACTACCTTTAAAAAACAACTTAATTTTTTAACTTTTAAAAACATTTAAGGGTATTTTTGAAAAAAATTCAAAATTAAAATTAAAAGACATTTTCTAAATCATTTTCAAAGTTTAAAAATATTTTTAAAATAAATATTAACTATTTTTATCTCAAAAATTATAATGAGAAGAATATTATTAAAACTTTTAAAATTTAGAAATATATATATATATATATATTTTATAGGTAGATGAGAGAGTTTTAAGATATTTTTATTAATTTAGAAAAATGAATAAAATTCATTTAAAATTTTCAATGCAAAAATTATACATTAAGTCGACAATTATTGGATAAAACATAAATACAAAATAATAAACTTTTTTAAAAGAAAAAAAAACAGAAATTAAAATTACAATATTTTATGTCAACTTCATATCGTTTCAATATGAAGATGATTTAGATAGAAGGAGAGGCGTGGGCTCCACAAGCGTGCTGCCCAAAATATCCCATCAAAAACCAATTTTTACTATGTCGTTCCACGTGTCACTTACGTCATATTTTCACATTTAAATAATTAAATATATGTGTTTTATTACACTTTTATTAAGAAATTAAAATATAAGTGTTTAATTAAATAAGCCTAAATTAATATAAATGTTCAATTAAATTCATATAAATTACTATAAATGTCTTTTAATGAAAATATTTCAAATTACTTTTAAATTTTTTTAAAAATAATTAATTAGTCCATTAATTTTTTATTTTATAAATTGACTTGTCACAGTAAAATTTGATTTTTTTTTGTTTAGGATGACTTCGTTCATATCACGAGACTAAAGACCAAAGACCAAGTGTAATCATAGGTTGGTCTCTTAAGAAAGCACGTTTCATATGTGTCCTCAATTCACCCGAGCGTAGTTTAGCTCGATCAAATTCATGTTTAACCTAATTCACACACAAAAAAAAAAAAAAAAACGTA